TCTTTGGTCCATTATACCTTAGGTACAACCACAAGGGTCACCACATTGTTTCAGGTTTGTCCACAGCTCTATTAGTTCCTGAGGGTCATTCTCAGGGGATGTGTACATGTCCTTGCTGCGACCTCCTTGGTCCATTATACCTTAGGTACAACCACAAGGGTCACCACATTGTTTCAGGTTTGTCCACAGCTCTATTAGTTCCTGAGGGTCATTCTCAGGCGAAGTGTACATGTCCTTGCTGCAACCTCTTGAACATGCCCATCGCGGGTAATCCTAAACACGTACATAACAAATGAATAAAATGGACCAACTAAAAACCTAGTAAAAACAAGCACCTGTTCTTAGGGATTGTTCATTTGTTATGGGGGAGGGGAGGGTGGTGGGATTCGCTGGTAACCCACAAGAAATCTAATCTTATCTGTTGTTGCATAAAATATGACCCCTCGTATGTTTACCATTCTGTTTGTTGTAAAAGTACTGTGCGACTCGGATTTTTTTGTGCCCCTCTCCTCTCTTGAGCCTGATTTCTTAATGACCCCCTCCCCCCTTGAGCCTGATTTCTTAATGACCCCCTCCCCCTTTTCTAAATCCCAATATCTCCCCCCCCCTCCCCTCCTCTGTAAAAATTGAACTTTCCCTCACTAGGAGAGTTTCTTCCAATGTACATGTACGTCAACAATGATTAGGTTTTAGTGGCAAAGCCCTTGTCTAAATTATAATCTTATCCGAGAGTGGTAGTGCTGTCCCTATCCAATGTAACACTTAACAATTAGACCTRCAGCCCGAATGGKYTATGAGTCAAAACCTAATAATTGGTTTTATAAAATAACTGTTATGAATCTGGCGTTCTGATTGGTTGGGAGCGCGTRCTTTATGAGAGCACACAGCACGCGCGCGCACTTTTAGTAGCGTCATTCCTATCTAAAATAACGGTTATTGTAATTCGTATTTTATAAAAGAAATAAAAAACTTGCTTGCCGTGCTGTGTGCCGTTATAAAGCACTTGGGGATTGGTAGAACACTCGAGAAGTGTTGAGAAGCACTCCGCTACGCGTTGTGCTTCTCCTAACACTTCTGTCATGTTCTGCCAACCCCCGCGTGTTTTATAACTACTCACAGCACGCGCGCGCGTTTTCTATTTCTTCATTAGTAAGTCAGCCAATCAGAGCGCAAGATTTATGATAGATCACTGATTAGTAGGTTTAGATTGTTACCAGTCAGTACATTGCAGGGTCATTCCCCCCCTCCAACATTATTTCTCGGGTCAGTACTTGCTCAATGCTACAGAGATGGGCATTAGCACCACCTYTGATAAATCTAATTGTATAGAGACATACTTGTCATCATATGTAATGGAATAACATTTTTACATTTCTTACCTTGACTAATTTTGGCCCTACAGCTGATAACCATATCCCAAGAGAAACATCCTCACCCTAATAGGATAACAAAATGATTTGATTTAATTAATACAGCTATTTTTTCTCCCCCCTCCTCTTTTTGTATT